ACTTAGACAGAAGGAAAAATCTTTCATGATTTTTTAACTTAATTTTAATACTATTAATATCTTTTCTGGTGACAAATATACATACCTACAAATCATCTTTTATAAAGTTAACTAACATTCCCTTCTATAAATGTATATTCATTTTTCAATTCCCTATTACTAAGTCATTAACGTTATTTCTAATTTTCTAACGGGATGAACAGCACTGCACCGATGTCATTACACACTTTTCTAAGTATAAACGCTCAAAATGAGACTGCTAATTCTAACACGCAGGAGCTTACAGCTCTATTTTGCCAAACTGCCTTTTAAGGTTGTATCACCATTGACAAAATCCTGAGTAGTTTTTGTTTGCCAATTTTACAGGTAAAAAGTGTTCTTACAGTAATGTGCCGTGCATGATGGCATTTCGATCAACAGAGCTCATACGTGACAGTGGTCCCTTAAAACTACACTGGAGCTGAACAAGTCCTATCGCCTTGTGACGTCATAGGGCAAAGACTGCAGAAATGACCAAGGCTGTGGCTGAGATGGCAAAAGCCTGTGACCTGGGTGTGCATGAGGACGACCCTGGGGAGCTCCTCAAGGAGGTTCCTGAGCAAGTGACTAATGGGGGGTTGTCGGAATGGGAACAGGAGGGCACAGCTGAGGAGAGAAAAGGGAAGTGCAGAACAAGAACCCCAAGAAACTCCAGTGAAGGGGTTAGAGGAGGCATCTGCAGACCTCAACAAGCTCCTTAAAAAGTCTGACCCCCCCTTTGGGCCGGCCGAGTGGCTCAGTTGGTTAAGAGCTCACTCAAGAGTGAGAGCTCTGAGCAACAGCGGTTCGATGCCTGGCCCAAGATGAGCTGCCAACAAGTGGCAGGATGGCTCAGCTAAAAAAAAAAAAAAAAGTCTGACCCCTGGACCCAACACCAAAAGGTTCTCATGAACAGAGAGGGATGGATGTCCGTCGTGCGTTATCTGCCCACAAGCAAATCTATGACGACGACACAAAGCAAGCAAGCCACCACAGACGTACTTCAGAAAACAGTGACGCCCCATCAAGAAGAGCCGAGGCAGGTCCTGCAGGTGTTCCAGAAGAAGGCGGTTGTCATGGGAGATGAAGGCTCCACGCGTGGTGCTGCCCAAGACCTTCCAGTGGGACAGATGTGGAGGTGGAGACAGTGATACCGACGACCCTGACCCTGTGGAGGCTGGGGCTAATGTATGTGTTTATATCTTAGTTTTTAACAAAGAAGTAAAAAAAAAAAACCCCACAAGAATTTTAAATTTAAAAATAGAGAAAAGCTTATAAAGAAAGAAAATATTTTTGTACAGCTGTATAATGTGTTTGTGTTTTAAGCTAAGTATTATCACAAAAGAGTTAAAAAGTTAGAGAACTTTTAAAGTTTATAAAGTAAAAAAGCTACGGTCAGCTAAGGCTTATTTATTATTGAAGAAATAAATTACTTTTTATGAACCTAGTACAGCCTAAGTGTGTCTGTGTACAGAGTCTCCGTCATGCCGTCAGGTCCTCGGCCGCCACCCCCACTCCCCGCTCCCTCACTGACTCCCCCAGAGCAGCACCCAGTCCCGCAGGCTCCGCTCATGGTGGGCGCCCTCTACAGGAGAGCCCTTTGATCTTTTAGACCAGACTGTTACTGTAGCTTTTCTAGGTTAGATATACAAATACTTACAACTGCCCACAGTCCTCAGTCCCGGAGCAGACTGTCCAGGCCGGTGGCCCAGGAGCAGTGGGTGGTACCACACGGCCTAGGTGAGTGATAGGCTGTGCCATCTGGGTGTGTGTGAGTCACTCTGATGTTCACACAACTACAAAATCACCTAATCGTGTACAAGTATTTCTCGGAACATAACCCTGTCGTTAAACAAGTCACTGTATTTTTGTGTTAGTTTCATTCTACTGATTACTAGTAAATTTGAACATTTTTCCATAAGAAGCACAAAATAAACGTTAGTTACTATCTTTACTGGTCCAGTCACATTTATTTTTTCCTGAAATACCTACTCATGGTCTGTGCCTATTTCCCAATTAGAATGATAGTCTTTTTCTTAATGATTTATAATTGCTCTTTACAGAGGCTAGTAAACCTTTGGTATATATGCTGTCAATTCCTCCCCAAGTTGTGTTTACTTTTGAGTTTAAGGTAGATTTTGACATACTGAACTATAGTCCATTCAAAGGAATTTTTCCTTTATTTGCTAGCCTGCCTTAGCCTAAGATTACAGGTTCTCTTTGTAGTAATTTTTCATTTTTCCACATTTAAGTAATTAATCTGACATTTATGTTTGTTTGCAATATGAGGTAGAGATATAACTTCCCCCAACTAGTCAGTTGGTTCAATAACCCATCGCTGCCCTACTAATACAAAATGTTATCTTTACCATAAATTCACACACACAGATACACACATACACTTTCATAACTTTCTATGCTATACCTTCTTTAATGTCTAACAGCTATTTTAACCTCACATACAGGTCTCACCCTATTACTAATGGTTTCAGATTTTCTTGGAAACATTTATATATTTATTCTTGCAGATGAGCAAGTTCAAAAATACCCCTACTAGAATTTTGAGCAAGATCATTTTAAATTTATGAAATAATTTAGAGAAAATTTAACTTTTGATAAAAAAAAATCTTTCCACCTAGGAAGGAAAGTAGTCATCTATACCCTTCAGAAAAGTTAAAAGCAGTCTTTTAAGTTTCTGCGTATTTCTTGTCAATTCCTTGAACTCTTGTATGTTGATACTACTATGCATGGGATCCTGAACCATTATACTTTCTAACTGACGTATGCTAATATATGAGGAATCTATGAATTTCTGTTTACTTGTTTTTCCTCAACCACCTTATCAAGGAACACTGGCTTAGATGAAGGTTCCGAGGTACGTGTTAAAAGCAACCTCCCAGACTTCACTCACACAGACAGCGTAAGTGTGTGGGGGAAAGAGGGCAGTGAGGTGTCTCCGCTGCTGTGTTTTTGACACATGTCCAGGTGATTCTGATGCTCATCCATGTTTAGGGACCAGCAGGTTAGACCACCAGACTGAGAGCTGAAGTAGACGCACAGTCAAAATATACATGAAGTTTTACAATAGATAACTTCTCACACGGAAAACTCCAGAAGCTGCCACTGAAATAATCCCACCAGAGATAAGGTCACTAAATTACAGAAGCTAAAAGAACATATCAAAGATTTAGTTACACTCAAAGAGAGATCACAGGGAATACCAGCCATCAGGATTTCATAAAACACTACATGTATATAAAATATCCACTTCAGCTCTACACTCCCAAATTCCCAGAGTGTGGAGAGTATCTTACAATAAACTTGTTCTTTGATCTGGGAGACAAAAAACCTCCTCTCTGGGTCCATAACCCATAAACTGGCCTATTAACCTGCTCCTCTGCAAAATAAGAAATTAATGATTACCAGCATTGCTCCATACAAACAAAATATACACACTAACGTAAAAACTATTTTATTATTTTGATTTAGTAGATGGTAAACCGAACCACAGATCAATCCTAAGATATCTCAACATACTCTACTAATATGTGAATCTAAGCCAACATTCCATCAGTTCCATCAAGAATTCTCAAGAAACGAAAGGAATATAAAGCACAAAGCATTCAGATTGGGGGAGATCTTGTTTTCTGGGCCCAGCAGCTTTCCAAGTAACATGGATGGTGGAGATCATGCGAAGAACGCTAAACAGCAGCAGGGGCACCAGTGTGTCAGGTTTCAGTCATTCCACGCGTAAGTAACAATAAGGTATGGGGTGTGTGCACCACGACAGGAAGCTAATGAATACATCTGTATGGTTCAGTCCCGTGTTTCACGGGCCACCTGATCCCACAAAAACCCTACAGTGAGGATTTACATTCCATAAATGAGGCAACAGGGGCTCCAAGGAGGTGAACTGACCTAAAACCACCCGACTTGTAAGGAGCAGGGTTGAAATTCAAACCTTTCTCCTTTCCCCCCACTTTTATCCTAGCATTATTTTCTACAATAGCATGCTAAGAACTTTTATATTTTTATTTTCAGCACATATTCTCACTGGTTATTACATTTTCTTCCCACAAGATTTCTATAAATTCAGAAACCATCCACCACACTTCGCACACTGTGGAATGAGTTCAACTACACACAGTGACACATAAGATGTGACATCACCTTGAAAATATAAAATACAAATGCCAGATGCCATTAAAATAAGTGAGTCACCAAGTTTCTATTAGTACTAAAATCAAGACTAACATTCTCAGAGATTTTCCTAACAGATTCTAAAGAGCTCTTTCCAGCTTCCAGCAGGAGAGTAACAGGAATTATTTATTCCACGGCAAAGCACAGCAAGCAGGTATTTCACACATGCCCATATGGAGAAGAGAGCTGAGAAGTCAGGTACGTGTCTCCTACTCAGTCTTAGAAACAGGCCTAAAATATTTCCCAGTCACACCTCCCAGGGACAACAGGCAGGAAGACAGACAGTCAAAAGCAAAGAGAATGGGGAGAATCAGCAAAGAAGCTACAAAACGTGGTGCCTCTTCACCCCGGAAGTAAGACCCAGCAAGGCGAGCCGACCTAAGTCAGCGGCCACTGCTGGGCGTCCGGGGGCTCCTACAGGAGCGGACAAACGGCAGCAAAACGACCGAAGGGAAAGATACGCTGACTGGACAGGCTCGTGTGTTCCCATTACTCAAGTAATGTAAAAATATCTAAGAAAAGGTGATTTTCAAATGATTACAGTTACCAAGAGTGCTAATTAAATATAAACATGCTGTTCAAATGGCATAATGGCTACAAGTGTTTTTTGTTAGGTTACCGAAAGAAAACATTGCTGGTTACAGTGTCTGGACAGCCAGGAGTAAGGGAAAAGGGTCTTCTAAAGGCTTTAAGAAACTGCGGAGACAAAGGCTATTCCAGCGCACTAAGAATTGAAATATATCAAGTTTTTATTTTCACTAGAAAGTTCAAAGTGTAATTACCTGAGAGACTGAGCCACTATGTTTTCACATATTGTCAGACAATGATTCACACGGTCTTTCTTGGTGGCTAAGAGTTCTTTCTTTCTGAAAGAAAAAAAAAAGGAAAGGAAATGAACATGTGTTGAATTACCCACTCCATTTGTCTACATGTCATTAATGCATTCAACAAGCACTTCGTGACCTCTAGGAATGACCCAGACAGTCTGTGCTGGGGGCAGTGTGGCGTCAGGACAGGGAAGTGAATGAGCTCGACCCAGGGCTTCCTCGACGGCAGGGCTCCACAGCAGTCAGGGAAAGCTCCGAAACCGCAGTGTTTTTCCCATTTTAGAGGAGAAATTGCAGTGTGAACAGTGACTGGCCCAAGACCACACTAACGGGGGGGATGCGATTCAAGGAAACAGAGTAACACAGTACCTACTCTGTACTCCTAGCTGCCTCCCCTTCTCAAATCACACCGTTCACCAACTGGTCAGCCTACCTGACGGCCCTCGTGCTCTCTATTAGGTATAAACTACAGACAATGGCCAATTGCTTCTGTATCCCCAAACAGATAGAAATAAGCCTCCTGCTCAGAGCCTTATCTCACAGGCTTCCTATTCAGGCTTCTCAGCCAAAGAAAAGGACACACACAGCCAGGTCTAGAAGATCAGATTCAGGTGCACGCTTGCCACCCAAACCTATGGCTTCAGGTGTCTTCAAGGTAGAGGGAATCCGGTCCAAAGAGGAAGTGAAAAACTGCAGCAGGCTTAAGAACCACATCCACGAAAGAACTGAGTATAGCCACCAGTACATGGTGCTACTGGGAACAACTAAACTGGAAGACTACTCACTGGGTTTTTGAGGGAATTCTATCACCAAAGGGGGTTGGGGGGGGAATCCAACCTACAATACCCCCCCACCCACCCCATGACTAGTCCCTAATGCAACCCTCAGGCTCCAAAAAGCACAGCAGAAGGGACAGGCTGCTGCTGGTGTGCAATTCGATGGAGGCCAACCCTCCAAGAGACACTGCAGATGAGGTCAGGGAAGGACACGGGTGAGAGAGGCCTCCACGGGGCACCCGAAAGAAGAGACACAGGCACGGGAAGAGGCAGGGCCTGACTGAGAAGCCTCACCTGGCACGCGGGAGGCCCGTGACAGCCCAATTAGAGCCCGGTCCGAGCCCGCCATCGCGTGGACCGGTGAATGAACCACGAGCCCACCGGGTCTTTCCTGAGCAGACTCACACCGGTACGTCACACTGCAGAGTGCTAGTCACCCACCAAAATGCCCCTCGTCCCTTCTTGGGCACATGCCTTCCGCTCAGAAGTTCCACAGCGCAGCTCCCCCAGAGCGAGTGACACACACGCCTTAGTTTCCACTGATGACACAGGAATGGCAATGGTACACGGGGCTGGCTCCTTGCCCTGGGTACCTCCCCGTTAGGTCCCTCCAATTGGAGCAAACATGCCTAACAGCCAGCTGTTGATTATACAGATAGACAACGGGAGGGAAGGAGCCTGGCTCCCTAAGTGACCACAGAAGCAGAGCCCCCCACTCTTCAAAAGCACCATGATGGGAACAGCTCCATGTCCTTCACTTCACCGTGAGGGTGGAGAAACCAACCGCTACAGCCAGCCCATGGCAAATTGCTCGGCAGTAAGAAGGGATAAGGCGCTAATACAAACAAGAGGGAATTTCAACATGTAAGATTCAAGACGACGCACTGGATGAGTCCATTTATATGACATTCTGGAAGAGACAAACTACAGGCATGAAACGTCATCAGTGATCTCCAGGGGCCGGGGGAGGGGGCGACAGCAAAGAGGAATGGGGTGGCAGAGCTGCTCCAAACCTCGACTGTGGTCGTCGTTCACGGCTTCCTGCATTTGTCCAAATTCACAGAACTGCACACTAAGGACAGTACGTTTCATAAGACGTAAATTACACCTCGTTTTAAGAACTACAAGAATTGAAGTGCTCTATCCTTTAAACCACCTGATATAAACCACCATACCAAAGTCTGTTACAGCAGGTCAGAGTTTACCTAGTCTAAGACAGTCAAGAAAATTAAAGAACACTGGCGAATTTAAGCATTTCAGGAAGAAACTAACTCACCCACCGTTACACTTTGATTTCTAAAGTGAAAATGTGCCCAGGCCTTAAATGAACTGAATTCACATAGCCAGTCTCCTGGCTGCATCAGAAGTGGCCCCAATGTGGCAGCCTCTTACACGGGGTCTAAATGACTCCTTAGGCCAGTGGAAATGAGAAAAAAGTTGACAAATACTAAGTGGACCTCACAACATACCAGCGGCCAGAAAAGAAACATTCATGACCTGAGGTTTTGGCCAAGTCGGAACTAAGCAGACCCTTCATCTGGTGGTGTCCCCGCCTCTCAAGCCGAGAGGTAGTGAGCATGAGCCCAACTGTTCCCAGCTGGCATTGAAGGGGCGCAACTAAAGCGGGTGGTAGCCAGGTGTCATGGATGGGCCGACCCTGATCAGGTGGCCATGGGTGCTGGAGCATAGCCTGGAGAACACTTTGAAGCCTCACTGTACGTGACCAGATGAGTGGGTCTGCCCAGGCTGGGAAAAGAGGTGTCCCAAACAAGATGATTCCCAATGTCCCCTCAGGCTGCACCATTATAAACGTTTCTGAAGCATAAAATGCTCCCTGGAATTAAGAGATATCACTGACAGAAACAGCACGTCAACATCCCAACTACTTGTGTGGTTACAAATTATACCGTAAAGCCACCAGGGTACCAAAGAGTAAAAGTCAGCGCTCCACGCTAATTACCCACATGCCTGCCGGGGAACTGGCAGGGCCCGCCCGGAACATTCCTCTATCTTCTTAGAAGTGACAGATACAAAGAGGAACTGTAAAAAGAACTGTCGTCTGCAGCAAACACCACTGCACCAGCTCGCACGTCCACGCCTGTCACCAAGACCTACCTGTGCTGTCCCTACATGCCAGAACTTGAGAAAGGTTGTCACACTGTGACTACCAAAGACAGAATACGTGCAGACTGCAAACCCCATTTAACGAGGCCTCAGGCTATTTCCCACCCTCCCTCCTAGGTCAATATGCTCGAACCTTCAGAGAATGCTGGCTGTCCAAAGTAACTCACTTGTTTTGGTCATGCATCTTCAAACTCAGTTCTTGTACATTCTATGGTCCCTGCTTGAAATACCTCCTTCCTATCTTATTTTGTCCAATAAGCAAATCTGGAAGTTTAAGAAAACCTCAACTACCGTATTTCCCCATGTATAAGATGCACCCTTTTACGAAAAATTTGGGGTCTAAAAACTGGGTGCGTCTTATACAGTAGCTATAGTTTTTTTTACTTGCATTTCCTGCTTTTTCGCGCTTGTCTTTGCGCTCATTGTTTCGCATTTGTTACCGGTCTATTACGGTAGGTTATGTTTTGCCACGTTCTGCCCAGAATTGGCTCAGAAAAGATTTTCGTACAGTGCTGAATTCAAGTTAAAAGTGATCCAGTTTGGGCCGGCCGAGTGGCGCGATGGTTAAGAACTCGCTTGGGATGCCAGAGGGCCCCGGTTCGGATCCCACATATGAGGGCCAGTGACACTGCCCTCCACAGCTAAGATGCTGAACAACAGCTCAACCTGGAGCTGGGCTGCCGTGAGTCGCTGGCGACGGCGTAGGCTGCAGCCCCTGTGGCAGTGGGTTGCCATGGGCTACCGTGTGTAGCCAGCAGCCAGCGTGAGCGGCCAGCAGCCAGCGTGAGCAGCCAGCAGCCGCAGTGAGCGGCCGTCCAGAAGCCGGCGACTGATCTGCCTCGCCCTGGAAGAGCGCAGTGATGGTGCCAACTTGGGCAAGTGAAGCAACGTCCTACACAACTAGATTGAAGAACAAAAAAAACCGACAGCAACTTGTCTGTTCCCCTTCCCCAATCCCCCAGCACTGTTCCCATCCCCCCAATTCCCCAATAAAAAATCTTAAAAAAAAAAAAAAAAAAAAGTGATCCAGTTTGCAAAAGTGAATGGAAATCGTGCTGCTGAACGTAAGTCTGGTCCTCCTCCAACTGAGAAAACAATCCGAGACTGGCTACGGGAAGAAGAAACCCTACTGAAAAAGCCACGGCAGAAGAAGGCCATGAGAGGCAATATATGAAGACAGTGATTCGTCATCAGACACAGATGAGGACAAGCTAATGATTGGGACTTTTGACAGTGATGAGTTGTATGAATTTTATGATGAATAAAACTTGAGTTCAATAACTTTATGTAATACATTTTTTTCAAATTATGGGCCCCCAAATTAAGGTGCATCTTATACATGGGAGCATCTTATACATGGGGAAATACAGTAGTTCGTTCCCCCACGGAATTTAATTGGCTTGGTAAACTGGTATGTCGAACTGACTTGTTCTACATGAAAAAATAAGTATGGAAATTGTGGTGAAAACACAGAACCACCTTCCTGCTCTGGGCAGGAAGTGACTTGGTGGACAGGATCCCAACAGTCCTGGCTCTTCAACCATGTTGGGTAAAGCCGTCATTTTAACTCCACCTTCAAAACAGAAACAAACCTCAGTCAGCCCCCTCTAATTGTGCAATGAAGCAATCTGCACATAGACACACATTTGAAGGAGGGGCACAGAAAAATCAAGGACTCTGCAGCATACGACAGTCACATTAAAAAACTACGAAGAAACTAATTCTAAACTGGGAATTCAAGCCCTCTCATCTAAATTGTTACTTTTAGAATTATGTTAAGATTGTGCATGAAAAATGTGGCTCCTGGTTGAGACTGAGCAGGAGAGAGGCCTGGACTACCCAAGGAACTGAAAACATCACTCATCCTGCACTTGTCTTGCATTCGTGCTCACACACACTTTCACATGCACCTTCAAGGCGGTGCCGACACAGCGAGAAGGACTGGGGCCCGGAGGCTGCATGGCCTGTGCAGCCACCAAGGTCTTCTGGGGCCTCACCCTGCTCTCCGTCTTCCGTTAAATGCTATAACAATGGGAGAGTGTGCCTAGAAAAATCAGACTCTCGCAGAAAGTTTTTTTTAAGGAATGGGACACCAAAAGTCACTTTGGGGCCAGCCAGCCAAGTGGCACGTTGGTTGAG